TAAATAAAAAATATATATCTATGTAATATTACATTATTTTTACCTACCATAAATTTAATCCATAATCCTGCAATATTTTGTAAATTTATGCTTAAATTTGATTGAATAAATAGTTTTAAATATGTATATTTTAAAGTCAAATTACTGCTGGCAAATTACTGCTTGAATCTGTATGAAATATCGTATAAAAACGGAAAATTATTTTAGATAAGAATTGCAACATTCAAATTCTTAAAAAAAAAAAAGAAAAAAACTTAATACTCGATTTCAGAATTTTGTAGATTTTTTTTTATGAAATTCCTGCACTACATTTTCTATTCATTTCCATAACTCGTCATGAATTTTTCATACCCTTGATCTGCTTTAGGGTATTTGTGTAAAAGAAATGCGGCATAAATAAGCAGTAAAACCAATTATAAGTTTTGTTTTGCTGCCTGCAATTGGAGATTGCAATTGCACATTGCACGTTGACATCCGGCAAAATGGCCAAGCACAAAGTTTAATGAAATTGAAAATAAATGAGAAAAACATTTTACACACCTCTTACAATGCTCTCCCATTTTCTTTCTCGATTTCTCTCTCGCTCTGTCTCAGTTTCTGTCTCTGTGTGACATGGGGATTTGTTCTGGGCTTCAGTATTTTAATTGCAACGCGGGTTCGTTCAAGTTAAGCTCAAGTTTGAGGGGGAGAGGAGCTCAAAGCAAGTGCCATTCGCAATTCTCATCAGCTGCAGTGGAAGCTGCAGCTGCAGCTGCAGCCAAACAAATGGACAAATTAGCATGTAACCAAGCTGACGCCCTCCCCGCCCCCTTTGAATGTCTACACAGGCAGGCGCTCACACGTGCGCACTTGACTTGGACTTCATTGCACTCACGAAGCACGTGGAGCATACTTGTGGAGTTTATGGGTCAAGTGTTTATTACGCCCGCGGGCGTGGCCCCAAGCAGAAGCATTGCTAAATTGTAGCACATTGTAGCTGAAAACAACTGCAAACGAGTGCCAGAGTGAGAGAGCAAGAGAGAAAGAGAGGGGGAGAGAGAGAGAGAGTGCCCAAAGTGTTTGTTTACTTATGTAATTGTGACGCCTCATATGCTCAAGACTCGACGACACGCCCCCCCGACTTGGGCGCCCTACCAAGCGAATGTAGGCGAGAGCAGATTCATTCATGCTTTCCTTAGTGCCATTTGTATAGCTGCGAGTTAAATTTAATTGAAAGCTAATTGCGCTGAAATGCGAGTCTTTTAATACAGCCATCGGCATGGGCTATCAATCTATCAGTACATCATTTGCTCCATTTGACCAAAATTATTGAATGCTGCTGCTTCATTTGCCATGCGACTAATTGAGTGCAGCCAAGCGATGTTTGCATGCCAATTTTCTTCATTAGTCTATCTCACTCTCTTTATAGCAGCTCTCTTTGTCGCTCTGTTTGCCTGGCTGTCTATCTTTTTGTACCTTTCCCTTTTGAGCAAGGCCTTTTAATTGCAGTTAATTGAACCAAATTGTTGTTTGGCATATGAACAGACAAATAGTTGCCAAATATCTTCCTCAACTGCCTCGATTCTGCACACATAAGTCAATCGATTAGAGCTGAGCGCGTGTCGCCGTGACTGGGCACGAGGCACGAGAAACACAACAGGTCAAGGCTCAGCTGGCCAATATTTACAATAAGAGAAATCATAAATCAATGTGTGTGTTACATTCTAGTCCATTCTATTCTAGTCTATACTGGAAGCAAGTCAGATTTATACAAACCAATGCAATGATTGTTTTCGGCTCTCGCACGAGCTCAGCCCAAAATAGTAAATGTGTATTTTGTCTTGAAAAATATTTTGTAATGAATTGATAGCTCACAGATGGCTTGAACTGTAATTGAAATTTGCGTCTGTGACAGCAAACAGCAGAGAAGAAGCTGGAAGTGCTGGCCATGAAGATAATTGATGGTACAATAGGACGAAATCTATGATAAACTACGAGTCGAACAAATTAGTTTGACAGACGAGCACACTGAGTGCTAAATGAAGTATTGGCCAAAATCAAGTTGCGCACAAAATATATCATCAAGTGGGCCTATAGAAAGCGCACCTTACACGTATGCCATACATAAACTTGTGTGCATATACGTATATGTATATGTATATGTATATGTATAAGTTCAGCCTCCTAGCCACTTGCCAAATCGTTTAGAATAAATCCCATTTAAGCTTTTTCTTTCATTATGCCTGCACAGATTAACGCCATAAATACAATTAACTAATTAATTAACGGCCTCATTAACGGTAAAGGGCCAATGTAATGCCTCTAGTAGCGAACTCAATTTTTAATGCATTTCAGCGCTTGCCACGGCGTTCAATTTGATAATTTCACTCAGTCGACTTTCAAGTTCAAGCAGCCATGAAATGACTGACGCACTGCGTCCTGCGTCCTGCATCCTGCATCCTGTTGCCTGTTGCCTGTCGCCCGTGTTAGCTGCGTTAGCTGTTGCCTGTTTAAGCCAGCGAACCGAATAAATAGAAAATTGTGTTGACACAGGTACAGAACAAGGCTGGCTTAGGGCGCTGGGAGTGGCAGGCAGGCAATTGACAGATGAAATATGAAATGTATATCAAATAAATATTAGAAATAAGTTCTGCTGCTCTGTTTTACGACATCTATAAATGTATTTATTACGTCATTCAAATAGATATGATGTTATATACGAAATAAACAACAAAACAAATATGCCTTCTGTAGCAGTCTAAGCTGGATTTGTTTGGTAGTAATGGAAAACGAATAGATTTTTAAGTCAGTCTAAATTTTATTTTTATGTTAGTTTCAGTTTTTAAATTTTAAGATGGGCGTATTTCGGATTAGGGTTTTTATTCTTTTTATATATTTTTGCTGCTCATTTCTATACTCAGTTCCCAGTGAGCGTCCATTATACTTATAAGGGTATTGAATGACTGCCAACTAAATCTTACAGATGTCAGCGGCCATGGTAATACGTGCTTCAATTGCACCGAGCTGGAAAATTGCAAAGCTTCCAAGCATTATGTAAAGTACGTAGATTCAGCGGATACGGACAAGGTAGTTTTAAAGACACCAGCCGATAAAGCTGACCCAATCCTGGAGAAGTGTCTGGATGACGGCTACAGAATAAATGGTATCGGTGCACTTCATTCATAATCTACATCATTCATTCTCTTGTGTACATCACTGTATTTCAGATACGCTAAAGGGCACTGTATGCTCCGGTAGCTCAGATGGCCTATGTCACGCAATTGGCCAGGCCACTGGCAGTCAGAGCGTTCTCTTTCATCATTGCGGGAATTGCTATAACGAATGCGATTGCTTCAACCAAAATGGAATCGCTCGAACAGAAGGCGCTATTATATTAACAATGTGTCTGGCCGCTTTTTACACTCTGATACAATAGAATTTTAAACAGCAAATGAAATGTCATTTTCCTTTTCTACATAGGGAGATGAGTGTATAGCCCTGTCTCTGCTTCTATATCATCCATCTGATACTGAGTATGAGTACACTCATTGTCCTCATATGTGCGTGTGGAACTGAGAGCTACTTTGCTTTCAGCAGTAGTTCAGACGGTGTTCAGGGTACACTACAGTCGGGCATTCCCGAATAGAGTCTTTCTACCCATTAACAATACATTTTCCCTCGCTACTGGAGCGAACATCATAACCTTTTGGCTCTCAAAATCTATGAATTTATATTTTCAACGACATTTAAATAGAAATGAAATGATGATTATGATGACACAATATAGTCATCATCAAAACGTGCCTTTTATAGGAATCTTACGAAGATTAGATTAGTATCAATGGAAAACGAATAGAATTCGAGGATTTTTTAGTTAGTCTAAATTATTTCGTATGTTAGATTTAGTCTTTAAATTTTAAGATGCGCGTTTTTGAAATCGCGGGTTTATTCTTTTTATATATAATAAACGCATTTAATGACTAAACTAATGAAATCAAATATTGCAGATGTAAGCGATCCGATAAACCTGACCCTTTAATGTATAGATATTTAAATATCGGCTACACAATCAAAGGCGGTTCATTTGTTTCATATATCATTTTGTCAGTCTATACATTATTGTATTTTAGACACACTAACGGGTACTATATGATCTGGTAGCTCAGATGGCTTATGGTACGCTATTGCTGAAACCACGACCAATGACAGCCTGTATTATTTACATTGCGGAAACTGTTATATCGAATGTGATTGCTGTAATCAACAGAATGGAAATGATCGAAGAGAAGGCCTTATGATTTTAACAATGTGTCTGGCAGCTTTTTACACTCTGATATTCATTCATTGTCATTTTATTTTGCGCGTTTATATGGGGAGAGAAGTCAATATCCCTGTCTTTCGTATACCATTAATCTTATACTTAGTATGGGACTCATAGTGAACATATGTGTGTCTGCTTTACAAAGTACCTCAGACGGTGTTTAGGGTATACGCTATTCAGGCATTTCCAAATACAGTTTACTAACAGTAAATCTGAGCAAAACAGATATTTACACAAATTCTCCCTTGCTACTTTTTGGTTGTCAAAATATATATCCAACGGAGCATGCCTTTTATAGGAATCTCAGGAACATTTGATCAGTATCAATGGAAAATGAATAGAATTTGAGGATATTTTAGTCAGTCTAAATTATTTTGTGGGTATTTTTAGTTTTTATTAAATTTTAAGATGGGCGTACTTCGAATTGGGTTTTTGAATCTTTTCATATATTTCTGCTGTGTATTTCTATACTCAGTTCCAAGTGAGCGTCCATTATATTTATAAGTATTGAATGACTGCAACCTAAATCTTACAGATGTAAGTGGCCAAAATAATATGTGTTTCAATTGCACCGATTTGATAGACTGCAGAGCTTCCAAGCATTATCTAAAGTACGGATATAAAGAGGATAAGGGCAAGGTAGTTCCAAGAAAACCAGGTGATGCATCTGACCCATTAATGGATAAATGTCTAGATGACGGCTACACAATAAAAGGTAACGGCGCATTTGTTTCACATATCATTTGGTCTGCAATTTATTCCGTTGTATGCATTACTGTATTTTAGAGACACTAAAGGGTACTGTATGCTCTGGCAGCTCAGATGGCTTTTGTCACGCAATTGGTGAGGCCACTACTAATTTCTCCATTTCCTACACACATTGCGGAAATTGCTATATCGAATGTGATTGCTACAACCAAGAGAATGGAAATGATCGAAGAGAAGGCCCTATAATTTTAACAATGTTTCTGGCAGCTTTTTACACTCTGATATAATAGAATTTTAAACAGAAAATTAAGGAGTCTATATGCTATTCTTCCCATCCACATACATATATTATAAATAAGTGTGAGCAAAGCAGATAGTATATATA